ATGTTTTCGGAACACTGTAACAATTTACCGCGGCAGGGGCATGCCTTGAAATTTTTCGCCAATGTCTTTCTACCTCGGGGTGACGCAGGGGTCTTCTTGGAATTCTGTCTCAGCAAATATCGTACAGACTGTAGTGTTCTCAAATATATTTTTTTTATCTTAGATAAATGTATTTCATACCCATCAACTTAATGTAGTGTGTTGAGTTATTTTATGTCCAAAAACTGTAGTGCTCTGAGAATTTAAAGTAACTCCAATATTCTAATAAGTGATGACAGAAACAACTACTCTACGGGTTATAGCTCCGCCTAGCATTGAATTACACCAGCAATATCATTATGTACAGCTAGGATAATTCGTCGGACGAACACGTCAGGCGTATACCGTTTTCGGACTTATTAGTCCTCATCAACCGGTATATATCTGGTGTGTTCGGTCGACGAATTATCTTAGCTGTATTTAATGATAATGCTGTTGTAATTCAATGCTAGACGAGTCATATAGTACGTAGAGTAGTTGTTTCTGGCAAAACTTTGCTTTCATCCTCACATGAGAGACATTGGTCATGCTGTCAGGTCGCTTCCTATAATTTTTTTGGTATTGCGCAGTTATTTCTTCTAGTAAATTTTAATAAGCCTGGCTATTTTTGTAAAATACAAATTAATATTCCACTACATACATGTGAATTAAACGTTTCTATTTTTACTAATATTCACCATCAAAATTTACGTGATAAACGTTACGTGTACGGAGACCCTTACGGAAACGAATTCCTCCGGCCGCCCGTCCCGTGTTCGTACATGTCGCCGAGAAATCGACTTTCCCACGCCTTAACAATAATCCCATCCAGCAAAATAAACCAAAACCGTAACAATATCATGTTTTATTAAATTAAAAGCCACGAAATGTGGTGATGCGTGGGCCAATGAGCTGAATAATCGGTTTGCTCTTGACATAAATATGTCGCGTAGATATGCGAGTGTGTTCCACTCTCGTTTTCGTTTTTAACCGAACAGGTCAAATCTTCGGAAGTCCCTGCTAGCTAAGGTACAGCTTAATAGGAGCGTTATGTGATAATAAATCAATAACCAGTGATAACTAAAGGAAGTATTTGCACATTTCCTAAGGGAAATTTTAAATTTTATTGAACAGTAAATAGTTGATGACAATTGTTAAAAAGTACATACTTGGAAATGCTGTTTTTTGCTTTTGCAAATATTCAGAACAATACACTTTATTGTCCTCAATCAGAAAAAAATATTATTCAAAAACGGATTTCGATTCCAAAGCTTGGAATTAGCTGAAGTGAAACTATTTTATTATGACTGAAACTAGAGAACCACGTTATAGTCTTTCCGAGGTTAGTTGAACATGTATAAAAACGCCTAGCAATAAAATTTAATGAGTTTCATGGGCGTCTCGAAAAAAGTTTTCTGCTAAAGGTAATAAATAAAAATAAAAATTTGTATATGGGTAGAAAATTTCTGTTATATGTCCATTTCGCCAACAACATATTTTAATTATTTTCCAGCCGAATTACGTGTCTCGTCATATCATCGATATTTTTAAATTTTTGTTTTCGCTTCTTCTTTACGCAATGATCTATAACACTTTGTTTAATAACACGAAAAATGTGTGGACTGAAACTTTAGTTAATATGTGAATTCTATTTATAATTATCTGGTTTTTCATTGTCTTCCTTTTTTAAACAATCGTAAATATTTAAAATGAGACGCTGACATTGAACATGTAAATCTTCATTTTTTAATTCTAAATCTGTTTCATCAACAACCGGTTCTACTAATTCAATATTGGCTGGCAGTATTTCGTTTTGTCCCGTTTCAAAAGGTCTCCAAAATGCCGTGTTGTACTAATACTAGTAAATAAAATTAAAATTACCTGAATTACACCAAAGTTCGCATTGCTGCACTGCACTGCTAGGCAATTTGTTGACAACTGAAATTTATTGAGGGTCGCCCAGTCCGGCTGTGTTTGTTTGCCGCTTGCCCGCGCGCTCATTCTTCAACTGGACCAGACCTGTATATGGGTATGGCTAAATAAATATGAGAACAAGTTTTTCAAATATTTCAATGCCGAGTAGCTGCTTCAGTGACCGAACCTGGTACATACCGCCAAACTCTTTAGTCTTCAATTGAGATCGGAAAGACTATATCACCCAGAAGTAACATTATAGACAGTGATGGTAGGTCAACTGTATTGGGGAAGGAAGGAAGCCAAATCTAGCTGGGTGTGGAAAAGACGAAGTATTGCACTTAAATTGATATGACGCAAGCCGAAAAATTACTTTGTAAGAAATAACTTTAATGTAGTAAAATATATTATTGTCCTTTTGAATTCTGCAAGTTGTATCTACGTTTGTGGTTTTAGTAGAATATTTTGAAAATATTTACTAAAACATATTTTCCCACAATGTTGTGTTTACATTAGAACTATTTACAGAAATTTTTGAAAAAAATATTAAAATATATTATTATTTGATCTTGACATCACTTGTTACATCTATGATTTTTACTCTCTTATTATATGTATAGGATTTTCAAACTTTAGTCTCACATAAGTTGACGTGTTAACTGTTACTGTCCATCCTAATTGAGAATAATTTTTACAAAACAAATTACAGTAAAGAGATCTGCTTCAAAAGCTAGATGATATCAATGCACCTTCAAGATTTTTTATTTATCGGTACTTGTTAATTGCAAAATTTTGTAGTTGTAATCCTATTTAACATTGTTTACAAATTCGTTTGTTGACTGGATTTGACTTGACTACTGTTAGTGTTTTATTTCAAAATTGTACTATTTTTTCCTTATACTTACATTATTATTAATTTTATACATTCTTGGTCCTTATCTTCTTCAAAGTACCCCTCTCTCCTATTTATACACTTTTCCCAGTTGTGTTTCCACTTCGCGAAGCAGTCCCGGATAGCTTCATCTGAGATGACCTTTAAAGTCTATGACGAATTTTCTTTGATGTCATCAATAGTCTGAAAACAGCGTCCAGAGCACTGATTTTAATTTCGGAAAGAAGAAGAAATCGCAAGGGAGGACAGTAATCTGATTTTGATAAAACTGACAAATTGACAAAATTGAGTGTGCGGACGCATGTGGTGCAAGAACCTTTTGAGTTGTCTCGCCATAACTCTGGTCTCTTTTGCAGATTTTTTCACGTAATAGTCATTGTAAAACGCTTTGTGTACTATACACAAAGTTTGCTTTTCACCTTGAGGCAAGAATTCAAAATACACAATTCCATTAAAGTCGAAAGAAACAATGAGCATCACTTTGACGTTGGATCGAGACTGTCGTACTTTCTTGGGGCGTGGAGATCCTTTGCCAATCCACTGTGATGATTGAAATTTTGTGTCAGTCTCGTAGCCGTAAACTCAGCTTTCGTCTCCCGCTATGATCCTTTGAATGAATGTTTCATCGTCATTAGATTGTCCGAGGAATTGCCGACAAACTTCCACACGATTTTCTTTCTGTTCGATCATCAAACAAGGAACAATTTTTGGTGCAACTCAATGCATGTTCCATTATTCAGTCAAAGCCCAATTGAGATGCTAATCTTTTCTGCAATTTCTCTGGCAGTCAATTTGCACGCACCACACCTTTGACTTTCCCAATATGGGCGTCCTCAGTTGAAGTCGAAGGCCTTCCTGGTCAAGGATCATCATCAATTGACTAACAACCACTCAATCATGAAAACCATCCCTAACATTGCGTACTACACACAGCATCATCTCCGTAAGCTTGTTTCAAAAGTTGAAAAGTTTCACGCAAAATTTTACAATTGCATAGTTGTTCCAGAAGATAGCACATTTCAAAAATTATCTTAAACACTTCAACACGTTGCATTCAAATAACAATATGGCGAAAACTGAATGAGATATCAACAATTTAAGAACATGTGGTTACAAAGGAGGTTATGCGCAACGCAGTGCTGCCAATTGCATATCGCTAAATATCTCCATTAGCCGCGTAATTCAAAAAGTTAGATTATTTTTCTGAACAGACTTTGTAGGTGTGTTGTTGTGTAGCTTTAATTAAGGCAAGTTATTGTGTAAATAAAATTTATGTGTAATGATTTGTAGTATATAGTTTTTTTTTGTATCCCAACACAATTTCTAAAAATTTTGTAGACGTTTACAAAAATTAAACATTGTGCTAGCAAAAACTAAATAAGTAGGTATAAAGAAAATTAAATTCAACATTTTGGATACAGTTTGTTGGTTAAGTAAGACACAAATTGTAGTTACTGTTATTTTCTAGGTGCATGTATAGGCAACATGCATACTTGCATACATATTTTTTTAATGTCTAAAAATAATTTACACCTATCACCTATATATAAAATCATTTAGTGAAAATATTAGACATTTCTTAGAGGTTCTTAATTAATAATTAATTGGCTGCGTTTGAGGTACAGAATAAATATTTTAAGAGGGTGTTGACTGTTGCGCTATTTCATGACGTCATTTGTGTGATGGATAATTGAGAAGATGAATGCCAGATGAGCATAGTAAGCTACATAAAATATAGTGTTGTGCATAATACTGTGTGAAATGTCCCGGTTAGAATTTTGAAAAAATTTTTTTCTCGAAAACTAGATTTGACCGCACAAAAATAATTTCTGATTCGTGTTCAGCACCATCGAAAATAGGGGGGTAGGGAAATTTTTGTGACGATTTGGACAGGTTACGGTATAGTAAATAATTACAAAAAAATTAGTTAGAAAATAAGTCCATAGCTATTACATCTCGTACAGATATTTTCAACGAATTTTTTAAACGTGCGATGCAAATGTGTAGATGAAAAAAAAACGTGCAATTATCCCGCCTAATGAATGTCATTACGCCTACGGGATCGTCTGATTATAGGCGACGGCATCGTGGGTACGTGTATGAACGCGAACATCGCGAATATCGGAGCGTGCGCGGAGCTCTAGTGGCGTATCGGTGAACGACTGACAGCAGATAACCAAGATGGTGTCCGGCTAGTGAGGGGAGTGGCGAATGAAATCTTTAGTTGCGGTTGAAACAAGTGCCGGCGGTCCGGTATACGGGGCTCTTGCTATCCTCTCGGCCGTGAGAATCACAAACAAGTGCCGTGAAATGACCTCATCCTAGTGTGCCATGACATTTGATACATAAACCATAGACACACCCCTATTTCAACTCATCTGTGATAATAATAATTATGGCCGTGCGAATGGATAACTCCACACCGAATAGAAAAATTAACTACAATAAAGTCACGGTAGGTATCGATTAGGCTATTTTAGAGTTATTTTCGAGGGTTCCTACCCCCGGCACGTCAACCCCGCCCATTTTCTCTCCCGAATACAGAGCGTTGCCCAAAACACATGATTGCGTAATGTCGGGGCATGTTTGTGGAGCCCTTTAAAAGTTAAATGGTTTTTTAGCGGATGCGTTCTGACCGCAACTGTCACGGTCGATCGCGGAATCCGATTCACTTTAAATAATGATAATTTAACGCATTCCCCTAGCCACCAGACAACACCGACGGCGTCGCAAAAGACGCGACGTTTTTTGCGGGGAGCAAAATACCGCATCTAACAACAAAATCATGCCGCGGCAGTCGGCATGGCCGGCTGCGCTGGTTTTGTTTATATTACTTCGCTTGCGTGACCCGACACAAAATAATAACTGTGCGAGCTGAGGTAGCAGGCACTGGGCAGGCCGTGATTTTATTTAAACGTCGCCGAGCGTGAAACCCAAGCCGCCCCGATAAGCCATATGTTTGTGTATGTGGGTGTCGGTGTCTCGTATCGGAAATCGAAGAGGACAGACTCTGAAACCGCCGCCGCCGTCGTCGTCGTCGTCGTTCTGAAGCCGGAAGTTGTGACGTAGCCGTGAGGCTTAGTCGCTATTCATCTGTCTCAGGGTGCTCTCGGTAGTAAAACAAAACCAGTAGGGGCTGCCGCCGGCGTTAAAGCCTCATTAGAAATTAGCTTTGTAATTGATAGCGCTTTTAAGGCGAAAAGGTTCGTGGACGGGGTTGCGCTCTCGTGTCGGGGTGGCTTTACCGATAATTTGAAATTCAGTTTGTGCGACGCCCGACAGCAGTGAAGTTAGTGCATATGGATAGAAGGCCGCAGCATTTTGTAAGAAATATATATTAGGTAATATGATGCGTTCTTGTGTTATTTGTTAAAAGTAAATTATTGCCTTAGATCTGGAACACCTACATCATAAAAATAACAAATTTGTAATCATTCTTTCCCAAATTCCGTCACTGTACTAGTGCCATTATAAGAAAGGATATTGTCTAAAAAGTCAGAACAAAATATTGAAAATTTCAGTGTTAGTAGAAAAAAAAACATGTTGTTTATTAAGGTATTTTAATAAAATTTGCACGTTACCCTTTAAAAATTGTATATCTGTAATACACATATACAGGGTGTTTGTAAATAAGTGCGAAATATTTTAGGGGGTGGTTGTCATATAAAGTACGAAATATGCTTCGTTTCCGAGATACAGAGTGTTTAAATTTGAATTATTTGTTTTTATTATTTAAAAGAATTTTAAAGATATTGACTCGAAATTTGAAAAACACTTTGGAGGGATAAATGTGCATTTTTTGGGGTAATCCGAATATTTCTACCTGCACAAGTGGCGTTCGTACAAGAATGCCGCAACCTTTTTTAATAAAAAAAATGGTACGCCACTGACTTTCCTGTTTTGATATTTTTTTAAAAATTCGTCATCATTTCTGAATTAATTTGGCCTCTTCAATTTTTTTTGTAAAAAAATAAAACATTTTATTGTAGGTTTCGATAGAAAGATATTGAATCTTTAAACTGAAATAATTTATAAAAATTAAAATTTAAACACTCTCGGAGACGAAGCATATTTGTCAATTTTTTTGCTATGATTTAATGCACAAACATTGCACACACAGAAAAAAAAGACCAGAAGTTGCCATTTCATGTTATAATAATTGTCGTTTTAAAGTGTTCCAAGGAACTCCATGGGTTTTTGTAGCTGTGGAAAAGAGTATCCCATTACGGCTTCAATTATAACATATTCGTTTAAGTGACATGTGGAATCTCACAGTGCTACACTTTTTGGCGAGAAACCCCCTTAAGACACTTTTTCGTGGGTCCCCTTGTCTTTGGAACCAGAAAAATTTGGTCGCAAATTTGATTTTTTTTTTAATTATTAGCTAAAAAGCCATTGAATTAAGAAACTTGTCTCTTAATATTTGTTTCGTAAAACGCAATGTATTTGAGGAAAATGGCGAATCACGATATGCATTCGAACACATTTTGACATTTTTCTCGAAAACGTTGCGTTTTACGAAAAAAGTATAAAGAGACAAAAACTTTCTAAACTTAATGGCTTTCTAGTGGACTGATAATTTTTAAGAAATTTAAATATGCTACCAAATTTTTTTGGCTCCAAAGACAAGGGGGCCCACGAAAAATTGTCTTAAGGGGGTTCCCCGCCAAAAAACGTAGCACGTAGCAAAGAGATTATTTTTAGGGGCGGACTTCAGGGGGCTGTAACTCCGAAAGAGGGGGCCACTTGGCAAAAATAAAAAATACGGGTCCCCTAAAGTCTTAAGAATCTTTGACCAAATTTTGTTGCATGAATTTCGGGACACCCTGTATATGAGCTTCTAACGAAGTTACCATATAAATATACAGGGTGTTTCTGAAGTAAGGGCGTTCCTTGAAAAGGGCGATAGAGGACACGAAAGTAAGCAACATTTTGATATCGAAGCGCTGATAGCGGTTTTGACAGTTCGAAAATGCTCAAATTTATTAAAACTCGTTTACAAGTAACACAAAAATTAAACGAATAAACGAACTACTTACCAATAGACGATATGCTCTACAAAAATTGTTCAGTGTTATTACCATGTGCTAATAAACATGCTTCCAAACGACGCGCGACGGTCGGTCACAATTAGTTCACATACGTGCAAATACACAAAATTACAAGTCTCATTTAAATTGTACTGACACTCTCCGTACATTTTATACGCCTGCTAAGTAATTCTGCAACACACTACGCACGTGCACAAAATGCACAGGGTTGTCTTACATTTATGATTAATTTTCTCGAAAACAGAAGCATTTAGACCATTAGTTGCTTAATAAAAGTTGCTAATTTTACTGCTCTATCGCCCTTTTCAAGGACGCACTTATTCCATGAACACCCTGTAAATTATAATAGAGACTTGGTTCCACAGGTAACTGGTGTGACACATGTAATTTTTAAATAAATAATGCTGTTTCCGAAATTATAAGTATAAACTATATCTCATATTTCTTTGTATAGGTACCCAATAAAAAATAAATTGCCTATAACATTTTTCCTTAAATATAAAAATAAGTAAAAAATACTATTAGCTAATGTTAAATGGCATATAAACACCTTTGTTTTTTTTAAGTACATAATCTGAAAAATATATTATACAGATGTATCGAAAATGCTTTTCTAATCATAAATGGGGGATTCCATGTTACAAATTAAAGAAGTGTGTATAGGTAAATATGTTTCTGGAAATGCTTGTTTTTTCGAATAAAAACCATTTGAAAAAAAATATATAATATTTTACATAATTTAAAAATAATTTACTGTCATTATAGTAATAGTTACCTATAAATGGGTTAGCCACATGTAACAAGAACGCATTTTTGTAAAGCTTTCAAGAAGAATAAAAAATTGCAAACCAAATTGTTGAGCCTCATACGGAAACTACTTCCCTATATACAATTATTTTGGGGTATCTACATACGTTTATGGACAATCAGTGACTAAATCTACATATTAATTTTGAAATAAGATGCTTCAGCGCTTTTTTTTAATTTAAAAAATGCAATTTTTTCATTTTGACGCGTATTTATAGGAACTTTTTTCGTTAATTTGTGGGTAGAATCCGTCATTAAAGTTTGGCGGGGCATTCCAGTTTCGCCCTATACACACGCCGAAAAAATGTGTTAAGAAATAAAATACTTGTGATCTATTGGAAATGTATAGTCCTTCCGAAGTCAGTTGAATATGCAAAAAATCGTCTGGTAATAAAATTTAATGAGTCTCATAGGCGTCCCTAAACAAAATTTTCTGCTAAAGGTGAAAAATTGTAATAATTTGTAGAAAATTTCTATTATAACATATTTTAATTATTTATGTCCTCAATTTTATTATATTGGTGGTAAATTTCGTTTTGTTCCGTTTCAAAAGGTCTCCAAAATGCCATGTTGTGATAATATTAGTAAACAAAATATCCCTCTTATTTCTCCCTTTCGCAATTGTAATATGAATGATTGATAGAAGGCGCCTATAATAAATTAAAATTACCTGATTCACTCCAAATTCCGCATTGCTGCACTGCACTGCTGGGCAATATATGAACCACTTGTCGTCTGCTGTGATTTATTGCCCAGTAGCCCAATACAACTGTAATCGTTTTCCTTTACCCGTGCTCGCATTCTTCAACTGAGCGTATACATTTCTATCATCCTCCACGTTTAGTTCGACCAGACCTGTTTATCAGTATGGCTAAATAAATATGGGAACAAGTTTTTCAAATATTTCATTGCCGAGTTACTGCGTAGCGACCGAGCCTGGTACATACCTTGAAGTTATTGGTTCTTCAATTGACTTCGGAAAAACTATATCAGTTATTTACTATTCCGTTTCTCGTAACCTTGCTCTTGTTTTTAATTATTTCGTTGAAATCCTAAATTGGAAAGGAGGTATAATATGTACTCAATTTTTTTTGCTAATATCCCATTAGACCGTATAATTTTTTAAGTAACCTTAACCCACTAATACAAGATAAAAATAAACGGGTCGATAGCCCAGTTGAATAGAATTTAAAAAAATACACTTCTAACCGTTATCCATTCAATAACTATGTGGTTAAGGTTACGCTCGTATCCAGACCATTTTTGTTCATTAGGTGATTCGTTTTTTTCGACGGAACGTAAAATATTTTCTTACTATTAATGCAAAGAAACGAGAACCATAACGAAACCAGCTTTTATATAAAACTGGCGACCGCAGATGGTTGTCGTACCTTTGCACATACGCCATCCTGCGTGTAACAGTCCGGTTTAGGAAATAAGGAAGAGAACGTCAAACCGCAACAGGTATTTCGCTGAAGAGAAAAAGTTCACCAGGTTGTCAGTATATCTCAAAGTTAGTTATGATCTCTTTGCATGCTACATGTGGTTAGTTTTATTTTATTTGTTCCATGCTCGTTTCCACCAACTGTTTTAGGGA